CCCACCATTTTTTCATGGAATATGCATGTAACAAGTCTGAAATATGACATTTATTTTTCGCTTGTCCTGTTTATTGACGGCGTTTGATTTTGAAAGTTTTTCTGGACTTCCTCTTTTTGAATTTACCTTAACGTTCGGTATTTTAGTTATACTTTTTATTCGTTAATGGTATGAGGACATACGTAAGTGTACTGTCCCTCCGAGACACCAATTATACCCGACGCGAATCGTAGAAAATTCAAATACAGTACAATGTACGAATACGACAGATGGGAAGACCAAATAAACGTATGCGTTCAGGAAACCCTCATAAATCTAAATAAAACAACTTTGAATGATATCAGGCGCTCCTGACCAGTAGAGTATTGCAATTATTTGTGCATGCTAATAGTAATAACGTATTGCTATAAATTTATAGAATCTACATGTCATTATACAAAACCTATTTGAGGTAACAAATGTTTGTTGACTACACAAAAAATAATTGTAATTGTAATTTACAATGTTTCAAATAATGTCATAGAGACAATCAATAATTGTCAAATTTCATTTTCCATCAATATTTTTGTAGATAATCATGTAGAAAGTTACATACACACACACATGAATGCAGCATGCCGAAGGGAAATCATGAACTGGATTGAAGGTAAGTATGATTTTTGGGGCTAACAGATAGGTTTATGAACACAATTGTGAGACCATATGTTTGAAAAAAACCATGAAGTATGTGCATCAGTTCAAAGATGTCTATCAAACGTACAATCTTGCTTGTATGAAAAGTTTATAAACTACACGCTTTTCTAATGTATTGAGTTGATAAACTACAGGAAAGTATAAGTGTAATGAGTAATAGATATCATGATAGCATGATAGTAAATATGCATCATGTATATAACTCCTGTTCATCATTAGACCATATTTCGTGAAACAGCACTAGATATACACATGTGAAAAGTTAGACCTACAAAATTCTTGTCTAATGAAATGTGTAGAGGTCTCGCATATTTGTTTACTAAACAGTAAAGATATGTCTTTCGTTCTATTGTTTGAAACATTTGAGTTCTGCTGTTTGTATTTTGATTGTTTTTCGTTTTTTTTTTTTGTAATGGTATTATTATGGTTTTTACGACTTATGAGTTTGAATACACCTTTGGGATCGTTCGCATCACTTTTAGATATATTGCAAAATGATAATAATAAGTGATAAAATTGAGAATGGAAATGGGGAATGTGTCAAAGAGGCAACAATCCGACCATAGAACAGACAACAGCAGAAGGTCACCAACAGGTCTTCAATGCAGCGAGAAATTCCCGCACCCGGAGGCGTCCTTCAGCTGGCCCCTAAACAAATATCTATACTAGTTCAGTGATAATGAACGCCATACTAAACTCAAAATTGTACACAAGAAACTAAAATTAGAAATAATACAAGACTAACAAAGGCTAGAGGCTCCTGACTTGGGACAGGCGCAAAAATGCGGCGGGGTTAAACATGTTTATGAGATCTCAACCCTCCCCCTGTACCTCTAGCCAATGTAGAAAAGTAAACGCATAACAATACGCACATTAAAATTCAGTTCAAGAGAAGTCCGAGTCTGATGTCAGAAGATGTAAACAAAGAAAATAAACAAAATGACAATAATACATAAATAACAACAGACTACTAGCAGTTAACTGATATGCCGGCTCCAGACTTCAATTAAACTGATTGAAAGATTATGTCTTCAACATATGAATATCAGGCACAATCCTTCCCGTTAGGGGTTTAGTATCATACCATCATAACATATATGAGAAGAACATAACCCGTGTCATGCCAACAACTGGTTTTTAAATAAATGTGTTTAGTGCCGATGCAAAGACCCTATAAGTGAATCAATATTAACGCCAAAATATGCAATCTTTAATGACCTGACAAAAGTATCGTAACTATATCCCTTCTTATTAAGTCTATTTAAAGGTTTTGTTAGCTTCAGAGGTGAATACTGACATTTTTGTGCTTTATAAAGAATATTTCCATAAAAAATTGGATGTGAAATACCTGAACGTATAACATGTATAAGAAGTCTGCATGTTGAGCTATATTTACGAATGATGTCCTTATACATTACATGTTAGTAAATTGAAATAAGAGTTTTAAAGGACAATTAATGCTAATCTTATCAAAAGTGATATACAGAGAAAAAAGCGCATAAATTAAATTTGCATCAGAGGATGTTTCAATTTAGCAAGTTAAAATCATCGAATGAGTATGTATTACAATGAATAAAAACATCTAAAAGCAGATCCGTGCTTTTTTTATTACAACGTACTTTCAAATGATAAACAGTGTTTATGAGATTGTGTCATATTACTGTAAAGTATATGAAAAACGTTAAAGATATGCGTTAAAGCTAAATTGAATATCATTATCTCCGGTCGGAATTTTTCGTAAAAACCGAAGTATTACTGAACACAAAACGACTACAAAGTATTGTTAGTAAACTATTAGTATAACTCGGTACTTAAAGGATTAATGTTATATTTTTCAAATGTTCCAAACATCAGTATAGTTTAAATTTAACTGAACTTACTAAACTAAAGAACAATTTTGATACTGTGGATTCATTTATTTTCGTGGGTACCAATTTTCGTGGATTAAGGAAAACTTACATGTTCGTGGATATCTAATTTCGTGGTTTTTGACAATGTCTGCATACAAGCCTATAGTAAATTTGCCATTCGTTGAGCATTTAATTTCGTGGTCAACCTATAACCACGAAATCCACGAAAATTGGTATCCAACGAATAATAATGAATCCACAGTAATTAGGTTTTGATTTTTAAATATTTGGCCTCGTGCATCACACAATAGACAGTTATTGCCAAAATACACTGGTGGTGCAGTAAAATTTGTACCGTTTATGTTATTTCTGTGTAAAATAAATGTATATACATATACATATATATGTTATCAACAGATCTTGCGGAGCATCACACGAAAAGTCCTACAACTAGTGTCACAATGACAGAAACTGGTATGTTATATAACAGAAGAAACACAATACATACTGTTTCAAAAAGCTTTAAAGTTTTATAAAGATTCATCTTTTGACTTAAGAATAACCCGGTGGCGATTAAAAGGAATGTTTTATTTCCCAATTATTGACATGAAAAATCAGTCCATAATACTTCTACTACATATGTATATTTTACACAAAAACAAACAAGAAGTAATATTTAACTCGATAATTTAGTTTAGCATTAAAACTGATTTAGATGATCCTTCTTTATCATGCTTATTGTACATTGCCACATATGGAGCAGGATATGCTTGCCCTTCTGGATCACTTAAGATAACCCTCGGTTTTTTGGTGGGGTTCGAGTTGATCAGTCTTTAATTTTCTATGCTGTGTCTTCTTTACTGTTGTTTGTCTTTTAATCTTTTTTATTTTATGCATGGCGTTGTGATTTTATTATCGACTTATAAGTTTAAATGTCCCTTTAATATCTTTTGACTCTTTTATAGGAATTTGAAAGGTGTTGACTGAGCATGCATTTGGAAGCGAGTCTCGTAACTTCTTCATGCGTATTCTTTTTCGGTCAACAAGAGAAAAAAAAACAAGTAAACTACACAAAATTAAGATTTGCATCTCTAAAAGAAACAAACAAAAACGATTTTCCTGAATGCACACTGATTGAGAAGCGACTTATGAAATGCATGATACTTACGGAGTGAAATTAGAAACCGCTTATACTATAAAAAATAAGAGTTGTCATTCTTCCGATACAAACGGCTAATTATGGCAAAGATCACTCTTCTAATGTGAAGATAACGTAAAACAGTACCAAAGCGATGTTTTATGATTTGCTGATTGAGGCACTCTATATGTTTACATATATTCATGCTCATGTGCCTATTAACTTTCATAAACATATTTTCATTAGCAATATCTAGTACACTTATATCATTTCGGCTTGTTATATTTCTAGGAGAACACTGCACGCACAATCGAGATGCCCATCGTAAGTAAACTGAAAAAAAAATTGTTTAACATTTCAGAGCAGTATAACATGTTACTTTAATTATTCTTGCCTTAGTTTATGTATTTTGTATTTACATTGTATCATAGATCAAATTTATTTGTTCAGTGTATGTTCACTGGTGTTTATATGTCTTTTGATTGAGTTAAGCCATTTCAATTGATATTTTATAGTGTGTCTTTCTATGTTGTGATGTTACACTATTGTTTCAGATAAGGATGAGGGTTTGGTACCATTAAAACGTTTAAACCCGCTGCAATTGTTTGTACCTGTCCTAAGTCAGGAATCTGATGTTCAGTAGACCGTTGGTTTTCCCGTTTGAATGGTTTTACGCTAATAACTTTTGGGGCCCTTTATAGCTTGCTTTTTGGTGTGAGCCAAGTCTCCGTGTTGAAGACCGTATTTTGACTTATAATGGTTTATTTTTATAAGTTTTGACTTGGATGGAGAGTTGTCTCATTGGCACTCATACCACATCTTTTTATATCTAAGAACTCTTATTAAATAAAGAGCGACAAATGTAATTGACCATTCCTTTATATTTTGTTTTCTTTCTAGTATCAAACTATGTAATATTGCTTTGATATTTGACTAACGAAGGCAGTACAACAATATTGTTTGTTTTGCAATGATTTGATTGTTTCTGCTAATTTTAGTTTTGTTTATTTGTTTTTGTATCTAATCACTATTACTTTTTCTTATCTTTATTTGTTTGTTTTAATATTATTTTGTTTTATGCTTTGTTTTCTTTGCTGGAATATAAAACATCTATGTCTCAATTGCAGACGACTTACGCAGCTGTAAGCCTTGATCTTTATTGAAAGAAGCGTCTTTCTTTCTATATAGAAGTTCAACTGCATAAAAAACAGAACTATTCATGTATTCAATACCAGTACTTAACATATTATGACAACTAACCCAGTGTCTCAAATATATATATGTGAAGATATTGACGTCAGTTGTCTGTTCTGTGAATACATCTGTGTACATTAATGTTATAAGACTGGTTAAATTATCAAAAGGCAAATTTTATTTTAGATGTTATAAGCTTATTACATGAATGGGAAAGACATAATCATTTCTCAGGTAAGACATGTAAGTGTTAGTCTTTATCTAATTCATACAAACTAATGGTAAAATAATGGCACATTGATGTACATGATAAAACAAATGTAAAAGACGGTCATGTTAATTCTCTCATGGGCCAATTACTATTATAATAATACTTGTCTTTTATTCCAAAGCAATACAGCTTATAGAGTTTACATATACAAATATAATAGCATGAGTGATAAATAACGAATGTATTTTACAATTATAAACTTACTAAAAATATTTTGCCGTTTTAATATATTTACTCAAAATTCTTGTTCAGTCAAAAGTCAACAATATTAAAATTTCTACAGATTATTTACCATTGAAATATATAAATGTCAACTTAAGAAGCTGCATCAGGTAAGTTAAAACATATATTATAATTTAACATGAATAAACATTATATCTTTATACGAAATAAAGAAGTCGAGATGAAAGATACTGTAAGATCGGCATTTATTGTACGTAGTATTTTGTCTGCTTTTTAGATGTCCAGAGATTGTACTTAGAGGTTGCCCTTGGTTTCCATGCTTTTACTGAGACGAATGTGGATAGAGAAAGGGCACATGGTGAGCAACATTTTCCTATTTTGAACGAAAAAAATGAAGACACTATTGTTTCAGCCAACATGAACATAAAGTTTTAATGCAACCTTTATCCATATATAAAAAAAATGAAAACAATACGTTACAAATTACATGCCTCCGGAACGCTTTTCTGGATTTACCTTCACCAGGAACGCTTAAAGCCGAATATGTAAATGCCAATGATGTATAAGAATAGAGACAGTTAAAGAGCTATATGACCACAAAAGACCTAGAAAATAGCCAAATCCATCTAAGGTCAACATTCCATGAGGGAGTTGAAACCTTAGTTTTTTATTATTTCAAAATTTGTTTACGGACAATTTTAGAAAGATTTGTTATAAATCATAATAATACCGAAGTACTGAATACTGAGGTAATGGTTCCACCGGAGACTGAAAAGACGAGCTAAGACTACATGTATGTTCTATATACATGGACAGGTTTGTATATGTTTTCTGTAGGATTCAGTTCAGATTTAACTATAAAATACAGTAAGGTACAATCCGATACTAAATAACAGTGGCGTTATCAAGAAAAATATCATTCTGGTAAACCAAAGAACAAAAAACCAATTTTTTTTTCTTTAATTTGCTTGTCATTATTAAAAAGTTTACATTTTGATTAACGTATATATTTTCATAATCATATAAAGCTAAAACTACAACAACATTTTAAGTCAATATTTTTTTCATTATTTCTATCTTTCAGGTGAACTTTCGGTTTCAGATTGTAAGTAAATGTTGGTTTCGTTGTATTTCTCAAACTTTTATACATAAATACATTTCCGCTTTGTTTTTCTAAATATATAGTTGAAAAATTAGGTTATCTGTATTGCAAACATCAACTTAATTAGTTAAATATGTAAACTAATCGGGTAACCCTACTTCAATATTTTGAAGGCTGTTTTAAATTTGATTTCTTATCCGTGTATATAAAAAGGGTTTACAAAAATATCGAAGTCCAAGGTATATATGAAGAGGGGGAAGTCCGTAAAACATGATAAAATCAAACGACTATATAATCAACGAAACGATTGGCACAGCTGTTTTAAATTTGATTTCTTATCCGTATATAAAAGAGTATTAACAAAAAAAACAAACTCATAGGTAAATTTAAAAAAGGGGAAGTCCGAATGACCTGACAATTTCAAACGTTCGACTATATAAACTAACGATACGAAAGTAAATAAACAGAATATGGAGGGATACACTTGGTTTTATAGCTACCTTAACCTCCAATTTGTATAAGATTTTTAGTTATAAGTGAAATATTTTTCTTTCCTTTTTGTCACAAAAGAAGCTTGTACATCAATTGTGTTTTTTTTTTTACATTTAGCAGATAATAATGCAGAGTCAGTCTTAAGAAAGAAATATCGCAACTGCCTGTACTTTAAATATATTTTGTAATTTTATGTTGTTTTTTAATGCTATCACAACCTGTTCCGTATAAAGACGAGTAAGAGCTATATATATAGATTCTACCACTGCATCGAGTGTGATACGATATTTATCCACTCGAGACAGTTAAATTTTCAAATTTAAAACGCGAGGCTTGCAGAGCGTTTTAAATATTTAAAATTTAACTGTCGAGAGTGTATAAATATCGTATTACACGAGATTTGGTGGTGGAATCTGTTTCTCTAATGATTTTCAAACAATACGCAGGCAAATTTATTCCTTCTTTTCGAATGATCTGCAAAAAGATGTGTTCTTTCTATGTGACGTCATCAGGCATGGTAGCCTTTTTTCATGACGTCACAATAGGAAATTCAGAGGAAAGCAAGAAAATTCAACGTCATAATCGAATTTTAAGCAATGAAGAACTGAGATCAAACGAACCACACGTTGATTAATTTTTTTTTTATACAATGGGTGCAGAAAGGGATAAATTGATGAAGAATTAGAGAAATCAATGTATATGTTTGATATATTTTAAGAGACACTATAGAAAACTGATCAATACGTCTTATTCCTATTCCTGTTGGTGGCTTATCATGTTATTGAAGTTACCCAGTCCATGATCGTTTATTGTAAGGTAGAATTTATATTAGAGTTCTACTGTTTTAGTAAATATTTACTTTCTGTTCAAAGATGAGCATGTTCGACATTATCTGTTGAAACTGAGTAGTAACTGTAGAAAGATTGTATTTGCCTGGATTGAAGGTAAGCAAAGCGTACAAAATATTGATGATTTTTTATGTATGTTCAATCTACATGTTCCACAACGTTTTCCATTTTTCATTTGTTTTTGTCCGTTTGTTCGTTCGTGTGATCGTCCGGTATATGGTTACAGTTTTGGTTGAAATTATTTTACCTTGAGATTGAGGTCATATAACATTGTGAAACTCGAAACATAGAATAAATGTCCAAAAAGATTTATACTTTTACAAAAAGAGGGGCGAAAGATACCAGAGGGACATTCAAACTCATATGTCGAAAATAAACAGACAACGCTATGGCTAAAAATGAAAAAAAAACAATAGACCAATAGACAAACAATAGTACACAAAACACAACATAGAAAACTAAAGACTGAGCAACACGAACCCCACCAAAAATTTGGAGTGATCTCAGGTGGTCCGGAAGGGTAAGCATGCTTTAGTCGTGTTGCTCATGTTATCACTAACCCGATAATAAGTCTAATTAAAAATATATATCAAATAAGGGTCTTGATCAAAATTTTTGCAATAACCCAACATAGGCAATAAGTATGAGCGCGACACTGTTTCTTATGTTATTATTTATTATATTTTGTTTTTCACTTTATCCTTCCCTCACATTTAACATGTTTAAATCGATTTCCTTGGGAATAGCAATATTTTTTTCACTGATTTCTTATGTTGATTTCAATGCTCATTTTTCATCAGACGAATGTGTTTTCAAAAAGATTTAGAAACTACGAGTATTCTTAAAAAGAGGGGCGAAAGATATCAGAGTGACTTTCAAACTCATATGTCGAAAATAAACAAACAACGCCATTGCTAAAACAGAAAAAGACCAATATACAAATAATAGTACATAAAACACAACATAGAAAACTAAAGACTGAGCAACACGAACCCCACCAAAACATAAGGGATGATCTTAGGTGCTCCGGAAGGGTAAGCAGATCATGCTCCACATGTTGCACCCGTCGTGTTGCTCATGTTATTTCAAACCTAGTAATAAGTCTAATTCGGTAGGTCACATTCGGGAAGAGGGTACGGGATTGTAAAAGATACTTTGTGTATTTTTCTGCCTTGTTTGTGCATGTTGTGTTTGTTTGATTTTTTTATTATTTTTTTTATGTATGTTTGTTGCTTCGTTCGGATACGGAATGAGATGCAATATGAATAAACCTTAATTCATATAAGATAATCAGATATGGACATTCGTTATACAGAGATTTTGCAGTCGCCTTTGTGCTAGTAATTTCCCTTGCTTCTTTTGATTGTTTCAAAATAAAGACGTACCTGTATATAAAAAATTATATTCAATATACATAGTAAACCTTTCTGTGTATCTCCATATCTTTCCTAATCTGACTCAACTTCTCGTGCATAATCCAGTACTGTGGAATTAGTGCATTTCAAATATCGAGATTTCCGATTAATTTGTTAATGGATGGATCCATAAATAATCTTACACTTACATGTATATAGTGTATATATCTGCCTCAATAATTTATGTGTAAGTTGTAGGTAAAAGGCACAATAAGAAACGCCTATCCGTTATACGTCCTTGGCTAGAATTGTTTTTGAATTCATATGAATCCCTAAGATGGTTTTCGTCTTGGCTTGAATATACCTGATCCTCCTGAAAAAAATGAATATTGTTATTTTAATTGACAGCGGTATTTTAGAAAGTGTCGTATGTTGGCCCAAGTCATTTAAAAACAGACACATTTTACAATCCTTGTATAACTATGTGAATTTGAATTTAAAAAAAACAGGTTGTTATTGTCTTTTAACATTCAGAAATAAATGTCATTTATAACGATACGGTGACTTATAAAAGACGGAAATTACATTTTATTAATTTGGTGCTTCCGGAATGCGTTTCTAAATTTTCCGTCCTCATGAGTACTGAAGCTAAGAATTGGGAAAAACAATATCTACAATTGCTAATAGGAAACATATTTTCAAATCGAATGACGATTCCATTATCTTAAGATCTGAGGCTGTGAAACGTGTTGTCAGTGAGGTGAGACCCAGATAGATCGTAAAAGTCACTTAATTTGTGATGGTGAATGTTGAACTTATGTAATATTGTTTTTTTATAACTCTGTTTGATCTATCTTTGGCGTGACGAACACACTCTTGTTAATGAAATCTGTTGAACATTGTAAACCTGCTTCAGATCTTTATAGAATTGTAAAACAAATTTATTTTAGATATTCTATTTCTCGAAGGCTTCTCTATCATAACTTTCTCATTACATTTTTGTATATTTTCAGATGATGCAAGGAAGCACACAGCCCCAGCCTAATCATATATGATTGAGTTAGCATAATAGAATTTATGATTCAGCATAAATTCGGTTATTAGTGTAAGCTATGTATGTCATTGGCCGTTCTACTTTTTGTCTAATGTGGGTTATCACTTATCTGATTGATCACGCGCAGTATGACTGCGCATGCAATCTTTTCAATATCTACATTCGACGGAAGCAGACGGATATATTTTGGTGATTTCAAAAAATTCAGGATTCAGATTGTTTAGGTTTTTCTACTTCTTTTCCAATACCGGAACTCAGGTGGTATATTTAGAATTAGTCTCCCGTATGAATCGCGGGATGTTTTATTTAAATATAAATGTTTCAGAGCCAATTAAATTTCAATTTATTGCTTATTTTACATGTTTGTATATTTTGTCTTATCCGGAGGTAGCGATCGGCGTCTTGTATTAATGATAACTGGGATACTTGAAGTTTCTTTATGTAAGTTACATAGAAATCTATAAGTGTTTATGGTATTTCATCAACGAGATATCAGCCCTTGACACCGATCTGCAAAAAATTTCACTCCGGCGGTCACAGCTTCTTGTTAATTAATCGTTATGCATGCTCGACATACATCTGATTATTATTTTGTTACGTTCATTTATTATAATAATTTTGTTTATTTATTTATTTATTTATTTATTTATTTATTTTATTGTTTCCTTCATGTTTGTATCACCACTTAATAAGTTAATATTACGAAACATCGTTATAGATAGTATATTTAATACGACGATTGTAATCTGTCTGTGTTTATTACATGTTTCATTATAAGAGGTTTTCATTATCATAATAGTTGCGATTTAATTAACGTTTAATATTCTGGTAATTAGCCCTGTGTATGCTTACGTTATAACCTCGTGTGCTCTATTTTTAGTAGCTTATCATTCGGCACAGGTTGTTTAATCAGCCTCCTGGCACGTGTAACCTAGATTAGGTTTTTTGTTATTGTATATGCTGACCGACATTTGTGTATAGTAAACCAAATATTTTATTTATGACATTGAAAGGTTAACGTACTTGGTTATAGGCGTCAATGAACTTTTTGAGGTCGCTTTGTAATAAATACTTTACTTATAGTATAAAGTAATATTGTTTGTTTGTTCAATTATATTCTTATAGTTTTAGATAAGATGAACACAAGAGGGTCAAGGAAAAAGCGCAAAGCAGCTACAAAAACAACAACATTAGAAACTACTACCCGACAAGAGGAAACACAGCTTCCAATAGTAACAGATCCAGTCCCTAACCATCCCTCAACTTCAGGAGGAGTAGCAGTTGTGGACTCTACATCAGTTTTTACAAATCGACCAGGTAATGCAATTAGTGAAGATCATCTAATGTTCATGCAAACACCTACCTACTCGCCTAGCCTTGACGATGACATAACATTACATGTCAGTCAGAATTTAAGACAAAAAATTCAAAGGGGCGAGTATGTCGATTTGGCTCTTTTATTGCATAACTCAGTCATTGATAATGACAAGCAAAAAGTCACTTATGAGCAAGGGCAACTTGTCATAAATCCAGTTTTGCCCCAAACAAAGATCACAAACATCGAAACTTGGTCCGATGCCTTTCTAATTTTTATGAGTATATATTGTTCTGTGCATCCCCATAAATTCCAAGAACTTGTAAAGTACATGACTTCTATTCGAAAAGGTGCCAGACGTCATGGAGGTATCGGTTGGAAATACTATGATGAGCAGTACCGCTTGAAAAAAGCTCGAGACCCAAGTGGGTCGTGGGGTAAATTAGATTCGGAATACTGGATGTGGTATATGCAGTCCGCATCGGTTCAACCGGAGGGCCAAGCCACAAATCATGCCTCAAACAATCGTGCTTTTTACACAAACCAAACGGCTACTACACTAAGATGTTACAGTTTTAATTTCGACGGCATATGTAACAAGCATTATTGTATCTACAATCATTCTTGCTTGCGTTGTGGTCTGCATCATCCAATTATAAGTTGTGTTAAGCAAAACCAGTTACATGGGCAAGTGTCCAGTCAAACTAGGACTGAACCTAGATTCAGTGGTCCAAGATTCACTAGACCAAGGTCTAATTTTCGTTCCCCAAGACCAAATTATCAACCTCAAAGACCAAATGGACGCTTTATGGGAATTAGGCAGAACACCTATTAAGGTTGATTGTTTAGAAAAATACTTAAAATATTACCCAGACTCAAACACTTCCTTATTGTTATTGGATGGTTTTATGAATGGTTTTAGTCTTCAATATTCCGGTCCTCGAACTCCTTTTATTTCAAAAAATCTCAAATCAGCTGAACTGCTTAAGACAGAAACGCATTCGAAATTAAATAAAGAAATTGCTTTAGGTAGAATGTGTGGTCCTTTTAAAATAATGCCTATATCAACCTTGCGCACTTCACCAATTGGATTGGTCAATAAATCTGATGGGAGTTTTAGGCTTATAATGCACTTGTCTTTTCCAAACGGTTGTAGTGTCAATGACTTTGTCAATCCCAATGAAACATCTGTAAAGTACACATCCTTTGATGAAGTAATCGACATGGTGTCATCTCTCGGCAAGGGGGCCAGACTTGGGGTTCAGGACATAAAGTCCGCTTTTCGTCTTTTGCCTATTTCTCCAGGTGATTTCGATTTACTTGGAATATATTTTGATGGTAATTTTTATGTGGACAAATCCCTTCCATTCGGTTGTTCTATTGCTTGCGCCTTGTTTGAAAAATTCTCTACATTCCTGCATTGGTTGGTTGTTTCATCTGCTGGTAAGCATTCAGTTAAGCATTATTTAGATGATTTCATATTCGGCGGTTCTGCAAATTCGGATGACTGCTTGGTTTTAATGAACACATTTACTGAACTTTGTAATGAGTTAGGCGTGCCTATAGCCGAGGACAAAACAATACATCCTACTACAAGATTAACTTTTCTTGGCTTAGAAATAGACACAGTTGACATGGTCGTTCGTATTCCAGTGGCAAAGCTTATTAAATTACGTTCTCAACTTCAACCAATGACAATAAAGCGGAAGATTAAATTTAAGGATTTCGAGTCGCTAGTTGGGTTATTAGCTTTTTGTTCACGTGCTGTGCCATCCTCTAGAGCATTTTTACGGAGATTTTATGATGTTATTGCATCATTTAGGGTCAAGAAACCATTTTTCTCAGTTCGAATTACCTCTGAAATTCGAGAGGACGTCATGGTATGGTTAGAATTCTTAAAATCTTTTAATGGAGATTCTTATATTATTGGTCTGAATTGGACAGATAATGATATTTTGCAACTATTTACTGATAGTGCAGGCAATGCTGAACTTGGTTGTGGATCTTACTTTAACGGAAAATGGGTACAGTTCAAATGGCCAGATTCGTGGGTAGGATTAAACATTTTACAAGACATAACATTTTTGGAACTCGTTCCTATACTTCTAGCACTCTGTATATGGGCTCCTCTTTTGAAAAATAGTAAGATTTTGTTTCGTACAGACAACATCGCGTTGGTTGATATACTAAACAAGAGAACATCAAAATCAAAACGGGTAATGTCAATAATTCGACCATTCGTGTTGCGTACAATGCATTACAACATTCAGTTCAAGGCAAAACATATTGTAGGTGCCAAAAATAATATAGCTGACGCTCTCTCTCGCTTTCAGTTAGACAAGTTCAGAAGGTTAGCACCATTGGCGGAGGATACACCGGAAATAGTCCCTCGGGAGTTCATAGACCTGATCTCCAAACTGAAATTGACCGACTAATTGTATCAGCAGTCGCACCTAATACGGCAAAGGTTTACCAACAAGCTTTACGGTCATTTAAAGATTTTAGGGCCTTATTCCAATTCGAAGATCTATGGCCTATTCCATTACATCACATAACTAACTATATTGCCTATATGTCATTCACTGGAACTGCGGCCTCAACTGTCAAATCGTATATCTCTGGGTTGAGTTTTTTCAGTAAGATTAACAATTATACTGACTGCTTTAATGCTTTTGTTGTCAGAAAGCTACTCGAAGGAATGAAGCGTTCACAGCGTCGACCAAAGGATGCTAGGTTACCCATAACGCGTGATTTATTGTCAAAAATATATAACGTTCTACCTGCTGTTTGTCATAATGATTTTGAAACTAAACTCTTCCAAGCTTCGTTTTCCTTGGCCTTTTTTGGTTTCCTTAGAGTTGGCGAACTAACCGCTGACCAAAAACACCAAAAACACACCTCAACCCAATCCCATGCACTTGATTATAAAGACATTAAGATAAATCTATCCAGTATTGAAATCCGCTTACGTTCATCTAAGACTGACCAGTGCTGTACAGGAACTACAATTGTTATTGATGATAGGCCTGGTGATGTTTGTGCAGTTTTCGCTTTACGTAATTACTTAAAAATTAGACCAAATGTCGCTGGTCAACTGTTTTGTCATTTTGATGGAACCCCTATCACTAGATACCAATTTTCGGGAGTCCTAAAAAAGTCACTGAATATTTTGGGTTTAAGTCAAGCAAAATATAGTTCTCATTCATTCAGGATAGGTGCTGCCACAAGCGCTGCCATGAATGGCTTATCTGATTCTGAAATTCAGGCCATGGGTAGGTGGAAGTCTGATTCATTTCGTTCATATATTCGAATACAACAATGTCTATAACTGTTAGATTTATTTATAATTTTGTGTAATGAACTTGCAATCACTTTAGTGGGACTAACCGCTATTTAAGAATTGCAGGTTCACCAATTACAATTTGGATTGTTGGTTCCTCCTTGGTAAAAAATGCATTTGTTCAAGCTAGAACAAGACCAGGTGGCATTAATCTTGGACTAGATCAAAATGGTGTTCGGCTGTGGTGGTTGGGTAAAAGCGGAATGAGGCTTAATGATCTACTAAATAGGATCAAGCTGATGCTTAGATATGAGGAACCCCCAACTTATCTAGTATTACACATAGGGGGAAATGATTTAGGAGAAATTAAGACAGGAGTGTTACGTAATAGACTAAAACATTATTTGAAGAAAGTTTCAGAACTTTTACTGAATAGCACATTGGTATGGTCACAAATTTTGCCAAGACTCACTTGGCGTTACTCCGCTGATACTGAAGCAATGGATAGATCCAGGCAGAGAATAAACAGCTCGCTAGCAAGTTATATCATTCGCCAAGGGGGACATTACATACGATACCCCGATATATCTCCTAATTCTACATTTATATGTCAAGATGGTGTACATTTGACTGATATTGGTAATTACATTTTTCTAAACACAATTCAGGGCGCTTTAGAGGCCTTCCTTGTCTACTCGCCACATACTTTTCCCGAATGTAAATCATGAAATTGTATGATATTCATTTGAATTCAGTTTTTATTAAATATTTATGGCTCATATATCTATATGATTATTGTATTTGGCACACAGCTTTTACGCAGCTCTATCCGCTTTGAATGGCGGTTGACCCGTCAGTCATTTATGACTGCCTTGGTCAATTTGGCACATTTCGCTGCGTTTACTTTAACTATGCGTCATTTTGTCGCATATTTCATTTAGCATCCAAAACATTTGATATTGGGGGTCTCTGTATCCCAGGACCCACCACACAAAAAATTATGAATCTCTGTATCCCAGGATTCATTTTATTTTATTGGATGCTTCATTTATTGTAAATATTTAGTTATCTAGTTAGTTATCTAGTTATCTTTTTGTAGTGTGCCAATATGAAAGGCGACTACGTTCATTTATCTATCTATCTAATTATCTATCTGCTATATATATATATATATATCTTAACTGTTTATCTAGTTATATGGATTTATAATTGTGTAGTTTGTAATAAAGCTGTGGCCAAATACTGCCAAACTGTGTTTCTGATCTTTGCGCATCAATAATAATAGAATTTATGATTCAGCATAAATTCGGTTATTAGTGTAAGCTATGTATGTCATTGGCCGTTCTACTTTTTGTCTAATGTGGGTTATCACTTATCTGATTGATCACGCGCAGTATGACTGCGCATGCAATCTTTTCAATATCTACATTCGACGGAAGCAGACGGATATATTTTGGTGATTTCAAAAACCCACCCACCCACCACTATTTGTTTCAACATTGCATATTATATATGGACAAATTTTTGCTGTGTCTTGATATATTTTTTCAGAATGTTCCTGCTACAATTAAAGGTGTGAGACGTCAACTAAGCAGTCACTGTATATGGAGCGTATCAGTTTAGTGTCTACTGTAAACTTGTCTGTAGTCCGTAGTTTGCTGGTACAGCTGTACCATCTCAACGTAATGTGCGTGTTCTGTTTCAAGACTATGTGTTTTAGATATATATAAATTGAGTAGTCTGTACATTTCATCCGTTGCTTGCATACGCCCGCTTATATGAACATTTAGTACTGTATTAAGTTATGGGCACATTTCGCTGCGTTTACTTTAACTATGCGTCATTTTGTCGCATATTTCATTTAGCATCCAAAACATTTGATATTGGGGGTCTCTGTATCCCAGGACCCACCACACAAAAAATTATGAATCTCTGTATCCCAGGATTCATTTTATTTTATTGGATGCTTCATTTATTGTAAATATTTAGTTATCTAGTTAGTTATCTAGTTATCTTTTTGTAGTGTGCCAATATGAAAGGCGACTACGTTCATTTATCTATCTATCTAATTATCTATCTGCTATATATATATATATATATCTTAACTGTTTATCTAGTTATATGGATTTATAATTGTGTAGTTTGTAATAAAGCTGTGGCCAAATACTGCCAAACTGTGTTTCTGATCTTTGCGCATCAATAATAATAAAAGACGACCATCATGATTTTTTTTTTTTTTTTTTTTGTATTATATGACACGTCCTTCCAATGCAACTTCCAGACCCAAATACTGTTTTTGCGTTGAAGTATTAAAGTATACACCATATGAATCAATGATAAAATAATGCACATAATATGCAGTGATATGTTATCCAGTATTGAAAATCGTAACCGTGACTTTGAACCAAATCAATACTCAAGGGTGATAATTAATTAAAATCACTAGTAGCAAGATTTAAGTCTGAAACGGTCATTTTGGTCTGATCAAGTCTTAATCGCCTTGATTTACTGCTAGGGAAAAACGTTAAGACCGGTTTAGACTTTCAGACTCTGTTCCGATATATCGTGTTCAGTCAGATCAGTCGGGTCAAGATAAACAAGACAGATTCTTCTAGCGTTCAAATAAGACTTGATTAGATCACGTTCAGATAAAATAAGACCAAAGGTAAAAAATCTGTTTAGTTGCTGTAAGATCGTGTTCAGTCGTGTTAAGATTTTAAATATTTTAAATAAAACGAGCGACACTTTATCTGTGTTTATCAGGGGTTACTCCCCTTTGTGAATAAAATCGGCATAGCTAGGAGGATATTCTTTTGTTGTCTTTTAATGTAATACTGTATATCTATTTCATTAAATAACGTATGCAAACGTACAATTCATTTTTCCCCGATAGAATTTTTAACATTTAATTGGTTATATAAGAAAAGATTAATTGTCTTAACCGGGATATGTGTTAGTCATTAAAACTTTGCAGTCGTGCTTTCTGACATAAAGTAGTCCTGTATTTATTCATTCCGCCCGTAAAGATATAATGATAAGTAATATATCCCAAAGATGTTCTGAAATTTTCTTAAACATTTTTTGTTTCTAATGTAAAATAATAGTTCTGATCCATATAAAATTTGTCAAGAAAAATATATTCTAAGTATCTAATTTACTTTAAATTTTTAAATATTATACAGATGACAGTTGCTTGGTGAAAGTTATTTACATTTCAATAAACGGATTATCTAAGCAGTCAACCGAAACGGGTTGTCATAAACTATCTAAATAATTACCCATGCAACGCTTATGATGTTTTATCTATGGACGTAAAATGAATAAAGTTCCATGTTTTATCTTATATAAGGATTTACCGGGTAAAATTATTACATTGACAAATAACAAGAATAAAGAATATTTTAAGAATTTAGTTGACAGTTTATATTTACCATTAGGTACCTATAAAGACCGATTTCGATACCTCTCTTGATTTTTTTTATCATCAAGTTTTTTTTAGCAAGAACTAATACAAGAATAAATCATATAGAAAAATATCAAACAACGATTGATAAAATCTTGTGTACGGTATATATTTCTGTTTCGTATCAGATTTTTTTTATAACACCAGCGTTACTTCTCATTTAAAAAACAGTGAGATGCTTACTTGCTTTTTCGAAATTGACCAAAAAGCTATAGAATAAGGTAGCGAAATGACTGTACTTATAGAATATACCTTTGTTTTTCCATTTTGAATTGTTTTACACTAGTCATTTTGGGGACCCTTATAGCTTGCTGTTCGGTGTGAGCCAAAGCTCCGTGTTGAGGCCGTATTTTTAATCTATAATTGTTTTATACTTTGTAACTTGGATGGAGATGATTATTTGGCACACATACCACATCTTCTTGGGTTTATACATCTATGTTTATATTAACCGGGAGCAGTTTATAATATTTTCATTTCGATAAAAAGAAATATGCAATTCAGTAAATCAAATCGATTTGTACCATATTGTTACATTCAAAAGTCTTTAACTGAAGTAAATGATTGATAGAAATACATTATTTGTATTGCATCGCTCCTAAAATAATGTCCAGTGTCAAATATTACACATCGATGATCACTTAGATGTTCAACTGATTCAACCAAAAATTAAACTTAGGACTAGGATCAAATGCAATTCATTACGTTACAATTGTATCCAATATTAATATTGCTAATAACATTCAGTCGAGGAAAAGACACATGTGACATTGATATGCATTGGTTTGTTCTAGCCTGAGCGCGTGTCGACAAAAAAGGTCATGTTAACAAGAGAACAATTGTTGTGAATCAGAGCCAAATTGACCTTTGTTCCAACTTTACTCATAAATAATGCGTGCTTGTGGACAAAAGGTCACAGACGAAAGGTCACAATTCAGTTTCTGAGACTATTTTCTTTGAAAAAGAGAAAATACTTATTTAAAAAAATATATTTTGTATGTATCTTGAACTATTGTATATATAAACCAACTCTGTAAACAAATGTATTAAATGAACAAATAATTGTTCAGTAAACAAACTATCAAAGTGGATTGGTACCTAAACAGCTTCATGGTGCTAAGAAATATTATATCATTTGCATGATTAAAATTTAATAAATCTTCATTTAACAAGGCTAATGAACAATTTCATAAACTGTAAAAAGAATATATGTAATACAAAGTAATTTTTCAAGATATTTCTCTTACATACTTAAACAATTGTCACTTCCTGTCCTGTGACTTTTTGTCCTGTGACTTTTCAGTGTTCGCTTACTGTTAAGAATAGGACCTCCCTTACCCAGGACCTCCCTTACTAATGGAGAGAAAGCTGTCGGGACTACCAATCCTAAGTGTTAGAGAGAATAAAAAGTACATCAGTCATTCTCAATTTTATATGTTTTGCGTTAAAACAAAACGGTTTTAAATGTTGAATTTAAGGAATGCTCGGATTTAAAAAAATAAATCTTTTTCGTTTGCTTTTCGTTGAAATCATCCTGAATATTATGTAATATTGTACGCTGAACATTCAACGATCATGGCCAAGCATGTGTTCTTCAAAATGCAATATGTAGAAGAAAAAAACACGGTTTTAAATCAAGTACATTGGAAATCAAGAATCGTGTGTCGTGTTCGACCTATAATCCTTTATTAAATAGTCGAAATTGACTATTAATATATAGTTTTGTTTTGCACCTACATAACTCTATATATGCATGTTTTTGCCACTTTGCTTGGAAAAATTATCATATATCTTAATTCTCTTTCAATAACATTTCCTTATTCAATTTGCTACTCGTCTACCAAAAAAAAAAAAAAATAGATATTGTTTCATTTTTGCCATTTTGGTTATAATAAGTTCTTGGTAGATGTATGTCCTTTATGATCTCTCAGGTAAATATCAAAAATGAGTCCTGAGTTTTGACAGTTGTGAATTAAGGATTAGTTACTTTATGGAACACTTATTTCCTTGGATGGTAGTACAAACTTGTATTTTATCCTTTAAAGTTAGTATGCCTGTTTAATAATTTACAGTTTTAAGGAGAATTCTTCGTCTTTTGCAAATAGATGAAGAATAAAATGAAAATTTGCTTTCGATTGCATTGAGGCAGAGAGAAATATGCTTTGTTATATTTCAGACGATTTTTAGTACGGATATTAAACTATAATTCTTAATCTCTTCCAATTTACAAATATAATTTGGTATTGTTTTTTCTGCAAATGGTAGATGAAACTTGTATGTTCTAACTTTTTCAGAGGTCTGTGAAATCTTGAAAATATGACGTTCCCGGAAATCACAAGTCGCTATATAGAATGCTTGTAAAATTCAGAAACTTGCAGTACGCTCATATTAAATACTTGTCTGTTAAAAAAGAAAGTGTAAAAATAAGAAGGCGAAAACGGGAAAAGGGGAGGGTTGTTACACGAACACTTTCTTCACAATTTAATTCTAAACGAATAGTGATTATCAAACTTTTTGTTCAAATATCGAATACACAATCAAATCTCTAACTTATCCACGCTTGCAATAACCTTTTTATTGACAGGTTTCTGCTGGCATTTGATTGGACAACAGTTTAATGTAGGCGTGACAATCTATCACATTTATCCAATCAGCTGTCTTGTTAAACAAACCTGTGTGCGATGACCCACTGTCCACATAGTTTAGTTTAGAGAGTTTAGTTGTTTTTTTTATAATGAATTGATCATCAAAAGGACGTTGTTGCTATTGTTGGCCAGGGACTTTCTATACTAATGAAAAAGTCCATGTGTGTGCTTGTCAGATAGAAATAGACAACGCTTATATTTAAGAATAAAAAAAGTGATGAAAAAGAAATATTACTATGCATTGGATGGATATTTAGACTAATTCACTAGCTGTATTATACAGACGGAGAAATAACGCCACGTGTAGCCAGGATAAAAAAAATGATGATTTTAATTATGCTAAAAATGATATATTATCCAATCAAAGGGGACGCGATATGTCGGCTCCTGAATCCGCCACTGACCAAGCAAATTACGACGTAATTAAACAATTAACAACCTTGTAAAAAAAATAATAGAAAAGCGTCTTTTTTATCCCTTATATTTTATGATATTTTGTGGACAATATAAATCTTAAATCAGTGTTTCAAAGTCATATCAGATAAAAAAAATAATTGCAATTTCTGCCACAAAACAAACGTATTTTAGAATCACGAAATAATTGAAATCGAATTTGGATTAGTTTTGGGCTCAATGGAATTTATTAAGA